CAACGTTCCAACTTGACTGGAATTGGGGTCGTATATATRCACAAATTTTTTTTAAATGGCAGTTTTGTTATAAGTGTGCAGCGCTATGTGGCCCTCTGGTAGTTGGCCCTTCCATCCTTGAAGTTGCCCGTCCCTGATGTAGAACACCCAAAATGGCAAAAAATAAAAAATAAAAAACACAAATATACAACCAATTAGATGAAGAATGTTTAACAAAACAAAAACGTTTTTACATAAAACAGCTGTTCTGCTGAAGTGTGTTTCTGAAGATGGGTTCTGTGGAAAGATTAGATTCATGGAGTTCAGATCAGCAAAATATCGAACTTGTGAGCTTGACATTTTGTTTTGTGACTTTGAAGTTTTTAAGGTTCATCATTGCTCCAAGAGATATTAAGCTTTGAAGTTTAAAAATTCTTTGTTGAACGGTTATCCAATTAGAGCTATCTAAACTTGGGGTGAACTTTGACCTTGACCTTTGACCCTAAAATAAACTAGAACGTTTGCTGGAGAAACTTTTGATGGCTCCGAAGTTATTTTTACACACGGCCTTGGAGAATGTTTTAGGTTACAACCATACCAAAGTTTCACTCAATAGATCTAAAAATGGCTTTTTKTTTTCTTTTAGCTATGGCAGCCATCTTGGATGTTTTAATTGGATTCAGCGCACGATAGAGCTAACACATTTCTGGAGTCAGGCCGAGCGAACAGGTCTGGGTTAGATTTTTCTTTCTTTCTTTTTCTTCTGCAGCTTGGTGATTTTRTTTTGACATCCAGCTATGATTCCTCTGTCGGCCTCGTTTTCCCAGGCTGGAAAMGAAGGTGGCGGCTGTGTGACTGTGCGTGGGACATCCTCCCCCCTCCCTCCAACTGACCCGCAGATGTCACTCAGACTGACGTTGTCAAAAAGACGAAGAAAAAAGAAGCCCCCTTGTCTCAAACTCCTCCCGAGCCAAAGGTCAGGGTTCAGTTTGCAGTGGGTGASAGGGGATTCCTCTGCCCCCACATGAAGAGAAAATTAGCCATTTTTTTCCCCCCTGGCTGGATTGTTTGTGTGCTGACAAACATATCCTCCTACACACCCACGCTATTTATTTATCAGGTATTTAGTTAGACGTTACATTATGCATGAAGCTACACAATGCTTAATTACACTTGCATGATTCGGATTCCTCATTCAAATGAGGCTGTTTGATACTCGCTCGATTCTCAAGAGGAAACATCTTATACTTTTTTTTTCTTTCCTCCCTTTTTGGCACAGAAGACCTTCTATAACCGAGAGGGAGATTTAAAGTCAAACACACTTGTTCTGACATCTGAAAAGCGTCTTTTTTCCTGCAGACTCAGGCAGTTTTCTCCATCGCTCAGTTTCTTCTTCTTTTTCACGGCATAATGACAGCATGAAAGCTCGTGAATTTCAAATCCCATTTACTTTTCCGCAACATTACGGATCCTTAGTGGAGGAGCACTTTGTTGAAAAAGTATTTGATGGTAAAGCTTTTGAAATGTTGATTTGAATATGAAAGTGAGAAGCAGTCTTGAAGTTATTTGCAAGTGGATTTCCCCCCCCTACTTTAGTTYAAACTTTGGGGGTGAAAGGAGAGGCAGAACAGTCGGACAGAAGGGACTAAAGAATATTTGTGTGGGGGAGACTCTTGTGGGAGAAGCGTTATTAAAGGTGCTTCAACTTTCAACTTAACATCGGCTTTTCTGSAAATATAAGATTCCACGTTTATTACTGTGGACGAGAAAAGACTGATCTGCCCTCTGCCTCAGTGTGACAGAGGTATGTTTGGTCTTAATCAAAGATTTCCTTTCAAACAAACTCAAACACAAATGTGATAAACATTAAAGATTGCAACATCAATGATACTGTCATTGTTCTTACAGTGCTGGTAAATTCAAATTCCGTTTTTAAAATATTTTAAGACAAACAAGAAGTCACAGGAGCAGAAACATTGTGTGTTGAGGCTGCCCTCTAGTGGTTAAATGTTTTAGTGCAGATTTACCTGCGTGAAAAGTTTGTAAACAGCTTTAACCCTGCCGCTGGCTTTGGGTCAATGTGGATCATTTTGACCCAAAGACAGCAGGAGGGCTGATAAAATAAGAATCTGCAGTCTTTGAAGGGATTAAATGGGAGTATGAGCATCTAAAGCAGGGGTGTCCATCATGGTTACACAAGGAACCGAAATTCAACACTTGGTCCAGGCCAAGGGCCATTTTCTATAATATTTATGTTTTATAACAAATTACTTTTATAGAAATACAAAATGACCTTTTTCAAATTATCTTTTATGTAGCATTTGGAACATAGTTAAACCAATTTAAAAAGGCTCATCATTAGCATTCATTTCTTATGCCTTACACGCTACCAACAACGTTTTCATTTCCACTGTRTATCTTAAAGATATTTTAGATCAAAATGAGGTAATAAAAGAAAACTCTCACTAAAAATGCAATTATTTGACTTTTCTGTATTTATTGTTTTCTGTATTCGAAAGCGAATACVGAAAACAATCATTAAAATCGATTTGCTCTTTCAACACTGCAAAAAAAATGCCCATCTAACCAAGTCTTTTAATCTTATATCCAGACAAAAAGTGTCAGTTTTTTTCTTTAGACTGATATACTGAGAAAAAAAAAGACTGATATACTGAGCAACAGTGGAATGTGTTAAATTATTTATCTTGGTAGCCTGGAAATGTTCCTTATTTGATTTAAGATTTGCAGTTGTTTTATTCCATTGGCAGATTGTTTCACTTAATTTGAGATGATTCAGATTGAAATTGACTGATATTACCAACTTTTAAAAMCTGTTACGTGCAGAGGTCTTTCTTCTATGTTTATACTAAAGCATGGAATGACATTCCTCAAAACATAACGTCCATTTCAAAACTACAGCCCTTTAAGAAGAATCTTGTCTGCCATCTGCTGGACACTTTTTGTTGTGCTCATATTTAGACGTCCTATTTTGCAAATGCTGCCTTCCTGAAATTTGGTATGCTTGTTTGTCTTTGTGTCTATGGTGTATAATGATGTGATTGTGATGCTGTATTTCTGAGTGGTTTATGTGCTGCAGAACAGGAACCTGCTGTAAAACAGCAATTATGCTGAGTCAGGCTTGATTTTTAGCAATCTTTCCTTGTTTTAAAAATCAAATCAAATCAAATTAAGTGAAATAATCTGCTAGTGGAATAAGACAATTGCAAAATCTTAAAGAAAGTTTCCAGGCTGACAAGATTACTAATCAAACACATTCTGCTCTTGAAAGATCAGCTGTCACATGAAGACTGTACTAAATAAAAGAAATAATAAAAAAACCTTTTTCATATTTAATATATCACCTATGTCAGATAAAACRCTAACAAGGGGTTTAATTTGACACGTGATCTAAAAGGCAGAAGTGGAAAGTAAAAAAGTACAAATTTTGGTTATTTGAGTAAATATTTTCTGCAGACTTTTTACTTGTACTCCAGCAGACATACTGTATGTAGCTGAATAAAATGAGTGTGGCAGAGATGTTTCTACGTTAATGTTTTAATATAACATTATAATCATTATGGTCTTGAGACAAATGGGAGGTCACGTCATTTTAGAAATTCTAACCACTCACTTTTAGTTTTAATATCTTAGTACATTTGTATCAGACATTTACTTTTGATACTTCAGTAGAGTAAATGTCAGATACTTTGACTTGACTTAAGTATTATTCCTAAAGTAGACTAACTTTTACCAAAGTAATGGTAGGATAAGATACTTGTACTTTAACTCGAGTATTGCTTTGAAGCACTTTATATAATGCTGTCTAAAAGGTTTAGAAATATGGCTTCCAGTCTATTATTCTTTGGATAGTCTTATTTCAAATGATCCCTCGGCGGATCATCTTCCTCACCAACATCCTCCTCTGCAGATCCACAAACCCTCTCTGGGGTCTTCCTTCATTTCAATTCAATTCACTTTATTTATATAGCACCAAGTCACAACAACTGCTGTCTCAGGGCAGTGTACACAAAAACAAAACAAAAACAGAAAAAAAAAACAATAAATCTAAAGAAGCCAGCAGACTGCGCAGAATCTTTGCTTTGTCAGTCTCCCATCATTTCCTCCACCAGCTTCATATTCAACCAATATATCCCCCGTTCTTCCTCTGCACATGTCCAAACCTTCTCTAACTTTGTCACTTTSTTGTTCAGTCCCAATGAAAATCTTAAMATCTTCATCTCAGCCACCTCCAGCTAACTTCTTGTCTTATTGTTAAAGCCACTCTACATTTTGCAATCTTACAGCTCTACAGCTGTCACAGATCAGCTCTAACTTAAAAAAATGAATATAGAAATGATGACATCTCTATTTAAAAAAGTCAGCACTCWTAATGTGCATAATTTTTATATGAAGGATGTAGAAAATCCCAGAATGAGGATTTTGAAAGAGCAGCAGTTTTGTTCCAATAATTCTCTGACAAAAGCAGAAACGTCCCTGCAAACCTCTCCGCTGGAAGGAGGAGGATTTACCTCAGTGTTTGCCTCACCGCTTTGTGACGGAGTGGAAGTGACAGCGCCGCCAGTTCTTTCCATGTTCTTGAAAGAGTTCTGGGATATTTGACATCTGAATGTGCTGCGGGAGTTTCATCCCATTCTCCGGCTCCTGAGGAGGATCTCATGAGGATTCYTGTTACCGCTGGGACTCGGGGGGGTTTCTCTCTCAGGCTGCAGCTCGTGCTCCGTCTGCACGATTGATCTCTTTCAAYAAATCCTAAGACACTTAAAGTAAAAAAAAACAGGAGCTTTGCAACAGTTTGTGCAAAAGCAACAGTCATTCAGCTGCTGAGAACAAAGACCTTCAGGATGCTGAAGATTAGKAGATAAAGACTCAGATCAAAAATTTCATCTATTAGTTTTGTTATTAATCTTTAATAAATTCCTGCAGCWACTAATGTATCCTGAATAATAATTGACTTCTATATTTATTATAAATATTGCAAYAATTCTCCACACTGAAACTGCTCATAGTTACATAAAACAACAGATTTATTGTTCAGAACCTTTTTTTTTACAGAACCTCACAATGGTCTCTTTAATGCTCCCCTCTTTAAATCTGAGAGGAATAACTCTCCTCTTAATGTGCGGTAACACTTTTTATTTTAATTGATTTCTATTTAAATTMATTTGTTTTGCCTGTGGAGCACCTGCAGCACATTGATACTCATCTGGGCTCCACCTGGAGCATAATTTCCTAAAATAAATTAATTATTTTGACAAGTTAAAGTAAAATTATTTGCTTGTGAGGAAAAACTCAAATAAACGCTCACCCATACACCAGAAAACATCTGAACCATACAGTAAAACACATAAAAAATGATTTGTGCAAACAAACTCAACGTCTCTAAGGAGAAAAATTAAAGTAAACAGAAGCTGTTACATCAAACACTCGCACCTTTCTGTGAAAATAAGCCAACAAAAWAGTTGTTTTTGTCTCTACACACTATCACACACAAAAATAAAAAAAATTAAACAACGAATGTCCTGAAACCCGTGGGAGCACATTTACCTACAGGTGAATGAGTTCATTACGTGGTTTAATCCATCTCTGTGCACTCAGCGGGTCAGTTTCAGAGCAGTGGGATGAACGTTGCAGATGTCAAACCACTGCTGGTCCACCTCCCTGTGTGGCAACAAGCCGTTTCGAGGCAGCAAGGGCCGGCGCCAGCGTTGGCGGCTGCCCGCTACYTGCCAGAAGCGCGTGCCCTTGAGCAGGAAGATGGCGCTGTGGGTGTAAGAGAAGTAGGCAGCGTCGATGTGGCCGTCTGGATGGTCTCCTCTCTCCACTGGAGGGAAAACGTCTCTGATGGTTTTGGGGAAGCCCCTTGCCAAGCTGCTGGTTTCCACACTGAATGCAAACACCTGTTTGGACAGAAATTGGTCTAATTACAACAAATCACAGAGAAAACGCAACGTTTCTGTCTGAATGAGTGGAGTATTTTATAATGTTGATAAAACAGTAATACCAATTACAGCAGAGTATTTGGGTTAAGTATAAGTATAAGTTAAATCTGGTACTAAGCTGCGACTTGGCTTCCAGRTATGTACCAAAACTTACCCTGAATTACCATTAATACTAAGAAAGTAGCCTGTAAGTACCAAGCTTGTGTAACCTATAAAGTACCAATCTTGTACCAATTATATATCCTGCAAGTTTGTACTAATATGTACCCCTTAACTAACAAGTTTGTACCAATATGTACCCCATAAGCATAAATTTGTACCAATATTTACACTGTAACTAACAAATTGTACCAATATGTACCCTGTAAATAACAAGTTTCTACCAATATGCACACTGTAAGTAACAAGTCTGTACCAATATGTATACCCCCTAACTAACAAGTTGTACCAAGAAGTACCTTGTGAGTAACAGGTTTGYACCAATATGTACCCCATAAGCACCAAGTCTGTACCAATATTTACACTGTAACTAACAAATTGTACCAACATGTACCCTGTAAATAAAAAGTTTGTACCAATATGCACACTGTAACAAGTCTGTACAAATATGTATACCCCATAACTAACAAGTTGTACCAAGAAGTACCTTGTAAGTAACAAGTTTGTACCAATATGTACCCCGTAAGCATCAACTCTGTACCAATATTTACACTGTAACTAACAAGTTGTACCAAGAAGTACCTTGTAAGTAACAAGTTTGTACCAATGTGTACCCCGTAAGCATCAAGTCTGTACCAATATTTACACTGTAATTAACAAATTGTACCAATATGTACTCATTAAATAACAAGTTTGTACTRATATGTATACTAACACATTTTAGGACTTACGTCATGAGTACCAAACTTGTATAAACGTCATACCCAATAAGTACCAATCTTGTACCAATTAAGTACTCTGTAACTAACAAATTTGTACCAATATGTACCCTGTAAGCACCAAGTTTGTATCAATATGGTTCCCGTAACAAGTTTGTAGGGCATGCCTCACAAGTAAAAAGGTTGTATAAACTATGTACCCCATAAGTACCAATTATGTACCCTATAAGTACCAAACTCGAACCAAGGTCTTATCCCATTAGTATAAAATATGCACCCTTTATGTAACGTATCAGTACCCACCAGGTACAAACCATATGTGTAGTTGGTATGTACAAGGGTAATACAAAGTACGTACCCAGTGTGTACCAAATACATAGGCTTTAAGTACTATCTATGTACCAGTCTGTATAACCAACTGCCATCATAATTTCTTTATATTTTGCTTGGATCTGGATCAAAAGTTCCCCTGAGTTTCTGAAACTCCTTGAAAAATGTTATTTGTATTTTTGCTGCTTTTCTCATTTATTTTGGATCTTTAGGGCTTTTGTTACAGTCTGTCACAAAAACACAATTTGAACTTTTTTATATCTAAACAAATGTTTAAATGATTTTGCTCAATAATGGGACAGGTTTGTCAAACTTAATATAACGTAGTCTGTTAAATTAAACTTAAATTATGTATTCTGAGCAGATTTAGAATTTCTTTGAAAGAACAAACTCTGAGGCCCTCCCCACAACCCAACCCCACTCTATATCTGCTGTGCTTGTGTTTAGAGTTTAAGCTCTCATTAAATGTTAAAGGTAAAACAGTTACTTGAGTGCCTTTGAAGAAGTAGATGTGGGAGTCTCTCCTGTCGTAAAAGGCTGTGTCGATGGGACTGGGCACCCCAGGGAAACCTTCAGAAACCAGCCTCGGGTACCGATGACCATCAGAGTCCTTTATGAACACCTGGTCGTTCTCATTATCATATTTCCAGAACTGAGTACCTATAAAAATAATAACTCTGTAACACAAAGAGTCAAATAACCTCTAGTTTTCAAACAAATGGTTAATTGACCTTTAAAAAAGTAAACAACATCTCTCTTTTTGGACCACACATGTACATGTGCATCAACACCATCACTGGGAAGGCCATGCCAGCCGATTTGCAGCGCAACCGGATCGCCGTAACGTGTTCTGTTGTTCCTGTTCTCATACAGCCAGTACCAGCCATCCCTCATGAAGTACGTGTTGAAGCGGACGATCAAATCTCCGTACGGCGTCTTCTCCTTTCGGATCCAGTCAAACACCGTGTCGAATCGACCTTTACACGCACCTGGAATAAAATGATTTCTGGTCAAATCACAAATCGGTTTGTGTTGATGAGTTATGAGATCATCCCATACCATACAGATGTTGTATTGCCTTTCTGTCCATCCAGTCCATCTCAAAACTTGACTCGTGAGGCAGGTAGCTGGGCTGCATTATAGATCCAGGTCTGTAGGTGTGGGGTAGACCCAAAACATGACCGATCTCATGAACCGCCACCTAACAGGCAGAGAATTCAAGTTCTGTCTGTCTGTTCTCTTCAGCTTTTCTTTTGATTGCTCATAATTTGATACACGCTTACTTTGAGGAGGCTGATTCCACTGTGAGAGTTGGGGCCAGTGAAATGCTCGTCGTCGTCAAAGTGWATGTCACCGAGGAACCAGGCGTGAGCAAACTCCTGTCCCGTTCCGTCGAACCTCTGGCTGCAGCCCAGATGCCTCCCTGTGCGGAGAGCAAAGACCATACATTTGAGCTGGTTTCTTTCTGCAGGGAAGTATTTAAAGTKCCTGTGACWTCAAATTTTTGTAAYAAACAYGAATGCRTTTTTGGAAAGATCCCATTGATACCATGTTGCAAAACTAATTTCACGTCGCTGAGATGAACGGTTGTTGAGATATTTGCATGTGAAGAAACAGGAAGTGATGTCAAAGGGGAATGTCTGCATGTAAACAGAGCGTTGTTGCAAAAGCTAACAACACAGACTTTAGAGAAGAATCTGATGTTTCTTTAGATTATTTTTAATCGCTATAAAAGAGATTATTTTGTTTTAATAAACAGAGACCAGCGAGTTTATTTTATTAATTAGTTCCCCTTTGATGTCACTTCCTGTTTCACTTTGAGCCAAATTCAAAAGAAAATAGGCTAGTTATGTGGCAAAATGGGTAAAATCATGTGTACAATTGCAATTTTTTAAGTATAAAGATGCTTTCTTTGACTTTTTGTTTTTGAAAGAAAGGAATGTCACAGGTACTTAAACACAACAACTAAAGATGGAGATGTATACTGAACATTTGTTTTTTTTAAATGTGGCATATTAGTCTACATYTGTAACTTAACTTACTGATAATAACTCAGCTACTACCATTGCTAAGTTTAGCTCAACACTTTCTGAGTGTAAAATTCTAGTTAAAACATATTTTCCACTAAGATTTTATTGTTAATCAGCTCACTGTTCTTACATTTTGCTAATTTTTACTAAATGCTAAATTTAAATGTTAAATGTTATGTCTAAAAGTTAAATCCTAAATCTAAATTTAAAAATTAAATCTTAAATGTGGCTAAATGTACTATTTCAGAATGGAACTCAGCCTTTGCCAATGGCGCTCAGCTCTTGTTGTGACATCATCATCCTTCAACAAAAGCAAACGCTAATGCTGCTAACGCAGCTGAAGATAGTGTTTAAATTTTAAATTCAAAATGTGTTCATTGGAAACAATATGGATGACACCTGTGGTCAGGCATTTCATTTGCTGATTGGACACCATCCGCAACTGCAAGTTTGAAGTTTTTAAGCATTAGCAGTAGTTGTGTTGWTAGCAGCGTTAGCTTTTGTCTCAGGATGATGATGTCAAAACAAGAGTTGGGCACCCAAGGCAAAGGCTGCATTCCATTCTGAAATTCTTAAATGTAAACTTCAACATTTACCTACAATGTTTAAGATTTAAGTTTTACAAGGATTTTATATTTACACTAGGATTTTACTCTCAGAAAGTGAGCTAAATAATGAAAATGTGTTGTGTCATTTTTAACATTTACATTTACACTTGGCATTTAATACATTTCTGTTTTTTTTTTTTTTAATTGTCTACCTGTGCCAAAGCCCAGCTTGATGTCAACATCCTCCAGCGGCGACCACACGTCCTCCACAAACTCCAGCGGCGACACCTCGCTCCACATCCTGAAGGCCAACCTGAAGACATACCTCTGCTCCTCCACGCTCAGCTGGCTGCTGTAGCCTTCTCCGATCAGCCGCCACTTCAGCACCGTCTTGGAAAAGGCCATGAATCCGGATTCAGCCAGGTCCCTCTTCCGACGCCTCCCCGACACGAGGAAGGCGAGGTGACGCCTTCTGCGCCGGACTGCTCCGCTCTGGTTCGTGTTCCCGCCAACRTTTCCCATTTCACCATCCACGCTGGTGTTGTTGATGTTCATCGACGTATTCGAGTTYGTGTCGTTTGAAATATTCACGAGGAAACTTTCGGTGTTGTTAAAACCAAATAGGTCATCTTCAGAGTAATTGCCGGAGCTAAAGAGGTCACTTGTGTTGTTGCTGTCAGTTTTGTCAAAACTATCAGTCTGATTGTTCTCRGGTTCCACAGGGGCGTTCAGGTCCATGTTCTGGTCGGGGACCCCACACCTCGGTTTGTTCATCGCCTCCTTAGTGGCCTCATCAAACACACCTGTGACAACCAGACCTGACACCCTCTGGAACTCTTTAAGGGCTGAAATAAATGCTCGATTCTCGGCTTGGCTTTTGAAGACATCGTGATGACCAATTTGAGATTTGTCCCTCGAATGAAGCACYGAGGTCCCCTCCTGGATTCTGGCTTGTAGGTCATCCAGGAAGTCATCTGGGTCTGAGTCGGGATCCTCCAGCTGGGCCTCCTCCCAGTTAACTGGCTTGATGAACCCGTATCTAGAGAGAAATAACTGAAACAATACTAAATGATTAACCCATCACTTCAGAAAGTCATGTTATAACTTTCAGCTACTACACATCAAATTTAAGCTGGATTTCTTTATAAGTGCCAGAGTTATAGCCAATTTTGTGTTGGTTAATGTTGACTAGCTGCGACGGCCAAATTGAATTGGATCAACTCCAAAATTTAATCAGCTGTAAATGTAAACTGAACGATTACTTTAYGAACATTTCAGTCAAATCAACCCAGTGGATCATGAGATATTTTGCTAACAGACAAACAGAGTCGGCTCCTAATAGTTAACCCTTTCATTTTAAACAAACGTATTGTTCAAGGTGCAGTGCTTGAATTATGCATTGTGTGCAGCTCTCAGCTACTGCAACACCAAAATGTTATCTAAATATCTGCRAAACTTAATGAGTTATGGCCATTTAAGTGTATTTTAAAATAAGGTGGCTGTGGTGGTCATATTAAATTAAACTGATTCCAAAAGTTAATCAGCTATATTTGTACACTTAATGATTACTTTTTGCAAGTTTCATTAACATCATTCCAGTGACTCTTCAGATATTTTGCTAACAGACAGAGTTGACTCCTAATAGTAAATGCTTTCACTTTAATTAAATGTATTGTTGAAGGTGCAGTGCTTGGCATATGCGTTGTGTACGACTCTCAGCTACTACCACACTAAATTTTAGCTCAATATATTTAAAAATGAACAAGTTATAGCCATTTTAGTGTATTTTAAAATTAGGTGGCTGTGGTAGTCATATTCAATTAAACTGCCTCCAAAAGCCAATTGGTTATAGCTGTACATCTGATGAATACTTTCTGCAAGTTTCATTACAATTCTTCCAAAGACTCATGAGATATTTTGCTAACAGACAAACACACAGGCGATCAAAACTTACCTCTGCTTTTAATTCATYGGTTACAACAGCAGCTCGGTGAGATTGTGGCGTCTGCACGTCCGAATGATCCCGGCTGTGGAAAAGTTTCTCAGCGACGTTCGAGTTCGTCAGAAGCAGCAAAGCGGTCAGCTGGATGAAAGTCAGCATCGTGTCCTTATCTTTGTAAAAGAAAAAGAATGTGATCAAAGCCGAGGCGGCTCAGCTTTAAACCCGGAGCGTCTCCACGCCCACCTGACGCCGCCACACTTTTCTCAGCTCAGGGTGAAAAGTCAACTCGTTCAGACTCCCATCAGTTTTCAGGGACGTGTTATTCACACTCCGGTGACTTTAATGAGCCGTCACTACGCTGWGGAGAGAGGAAGAAAAGCTGCTCTTTCAACAGGAAAACATGCGAAAATAAACTTTGGACAACACCTGTTCCAAACACAGAAAAACACTCATTTTTTCTGATCAATCTTTATTGTCAAAAATAAATCACTTTACTTACACTTAGTTTAAAAAAAGTTAATGTTGACACAGTTTTTGACATTTTCTGTGCAAATTTAAACTCAAATGCGACCCATCACATCAAACTGAGGAATAAGTGAAATTTGGTCAAAATGAGCGCATTTTTAAATTTCCATTGATCATCCTGATATCATGAGCGGCTCCAGAGATTTGCCTTCCTAATCAGGTTAACCCCCTGATTTAGTCTGAACCCTATTTTCAGGTTATTCTAATGAGGAATTTTTGACGTCATTATTAAGAAGAAACCTCAAATATTTGGATATTAAGGTTTACCAACTAGTGCTCAGAGAAAATGACAAAAATGTCACTTTTCTGCACAAAATCATGGTTTTTGTAGCTACTGCTC